CTGAACGTCATAAAAGTGCCTTAACGTAAAACAAATTCACACAAGACACCCAGTTTTCATAAACGTCACGGTTTTCTACGCGTGTGTAAGCTCACCTCGAGAAGTGGTATGCCACAGCCCGTCAAAACTTATTTAATTAATTCCCAATTTACTTTAACCTAATTACAACACAAGTATATATAATAGCTACAACTAGTCAAATTCTAAACGTATTCCAAAATACCATACCTAAACGAACATTTTCTAGGATTTTTTTTATATAAAATTGCATGTTGTGACGTCATTATTATTTACATCAAATATGTAGCGTACTTTATACTTCTTGAATTATATAAAAAATAGGAATACCTTTTAGGTGTAACGTAAAATTACTCATCAACGTGCGAATATTTTTTAATACTTTTATGGTTTTATAAGTTGAAATAATTTCTTTTTGGCCGAAGTATTAATCCTATTACAATTGTACCCAAGTATTATAGCGTTCATAAAAACTTATAATGATCACACTTCTTTGTTACCAAAGTAGCAAGTAAGGCTGGCGATTACGAAGGCCCCTATTCTATTCCAGTGATTATGCTACTGTTTTATTTTTTATTTTTTGACTGCCGCGCTGAAGCACTGCTGAGTTCGCTAGTTCCGGGTGGGACAGTTAATGGTTGGGTTTATAGCGCGGAATCCTTAATTAAGGTTGGAGTATGGAAAAAAGCTCTTGCTCTTGCTCTCTCGCTCTAATCACACGGGACTAGATAACTGACTCGAGCGGCCATTGTAAAAGGCTGTGTTATGTTCGATTTTAATAGTGGAAAATTATAATTGCACCCCTTTATTAATAACGTTTGGAAAAGCGAAAAACACGTTGTTTTGTCTTAGGACGGCAAACTAGCAGAATGATGAGTGAGTAATAGGTAGGAACAATTCAGCGCCGCCCATTGAAGAGAGTTACGGGAAACTCTTGAGGAATTACGAGTGCCTTGCCTTTTGCGGGCTACTAATTATTAGGGAGGGAAAGGATTGGGCCTAAAGTAACTGTTTCACTCCGGTTTTCTATATATGTTTATATCGATAAGGGCCGAAGAATGGCTCTCCCACATTTGTATTACCCACACAAAGACTTTAAAACCTTTAATGCATATTGAGAATTACGGAAATTGAAATATTGAGCTTAATATAGGAACAATCGGACAGAGCGCTTCTGTTTTTCGCCACGGGACCCGTCTTCGTACGAGGTCCACTGTAATCCGCTTATGAGGAGCGCGAACAATGCAGCTCCGTTGAAACAACAAGTAAAACATACAAATTTTAAAGCCCGCTTTTGTTCCAAGTTTCTGATTTATTTCAATGATTTCCAGAAATACCTACTCGCTATATTTTATGTAACACAAGACAAGAGAATAATTTAATTTACGATGGTATGTTTAATATGAGACCGGTTGTATTTAATTTTTATTTTGTGACTTCTAAAGGCTTATTTACTTACTTAGGTAGAGGCATCATTTATTAATATTAATCTAAACTAATATTATAAAGAGGTAAAATGTGTAAGTTTGTATGTAAAGGTAATCTTTGGAACCGCTGGTCGGGTTGCCAAAATTATTTCACTGATACCTAGTTAGCTAGAATGTTTTTGGGTGCTATTGCTATAGGCTATAAAACAACACGCTACGATAAAATGGAGCCGAGCAGCGGGTGAAACCGAGCAAGAGCAGCTAGTTTATTTATAAAGGTAGGCCTAGGCAGAAGTAGAACAATTTTTTCAATGTAAATATTTACAAATTACTTATCTGGGTTTGTTATAACTTTTATGTAACAAAGGGCGAACCTATTTGTTATACCTTAAGTTCGCGTGCGTTTAAAAAATGTTTTGGAATAGTCAAAACGCCTTTGTATTATTTTGCTCGGCTCGGAAACAAAACTCAAAGAGTCCTCGCTCGCTTTCTTTTACTTGGGAAACAACAACTTAAGAATTTCTGAACTAAAGTAAATTTCGCTTTATTTAAGTATATAATGTGTCTTTCTTTACTTCCAAATATAAAAACCGATTCATACAGAAAACCTTCACATAAATGTTTGAGGTATCGCGTGTAACCAAAAGACTATTTGATACAAAGGAAAATTGTCACATATCCACTGAAAAAAGTGTTGAAAGAAAACGATTATAACAGTTGCTGTGCAAATATAAATAAGTACGTATCTACACATCACAGTTATCGGACAAAAATAAATTGCAGACAGCTTACTTACTTTATTTGAAAAGCTGTTTATTGCAACGGAAAATCTTTGAGAGACGTGTCACATCCGCTCTATTTACCGATAGGAACCGTTAAGATTCAAACTACCCACGACTCTATCAAGAAGTCACCTACTATTACTACCGCTTCATCGAATAAGGATTGCGAGTCACATATGTACTTGTGTATACACTCTTATATACTTGTGTGTAAAATCCCGCATTGCTAGTGTACACTAAGGGCCTTATCATGCTGACGGTTCAGGAGCGGCAGCGGGGCGCGGGGCGAGCGCGCTGCAAATGCCTAACGCACAAGATTAGCTACCTACTCAAAACAACGTATTTGCCACGCTTCTGCAGCGCAGCCGCAGCGTGTTCGTTGTGCTACCCTAGAAAGCAAAACTCCGGGCGTCGGGGATCAAGGGATGATTTCCGGCACCGCAAGCGCGGGTCTTCGGACGGCTAGTAAGGGTTGCTCGCCGCCCAACCATAACCAGACCCTGATCATACGGCGCATAGCGCTCCACGTGCGTGCGTTCAGCCGGGGTTGCAGAATAATCGGAATGAGGTACCACAGCCCCGACCCAGACCAGGAGAAGGAACGGGGGATTTTAGTCAGTAAGAGTCGCCCCACCCTGGGCGGGAGAAGTCATTTGATAATCTTACCCTGACAAAAAAAACCTGTTTGCGCCCTTTCAATTTAAAAACGCTCGCAATCCGCTAGTAGTTATTATAAGGTCCTTTATATCCGGCATCTAATTATGGTTACGATCTCGTACGGTAAAAAGGTGCGGTGTTTTGTCCCTACACACCTATAGAACAAAATGTATTCTGTTCTCATTGCATCCATTTGCATCAGTCTATGTATCATCTACGTCAATTTTAGAAACAAAACAACTTATTCAAACGTTTGCTGCGCAAACGCGAATTTTAAAGGCTTTAATATTGCCGTCGCTGCATTTGCAAAATGCATCATATTTTTTTGCTTAATTATTAACTAAACGTTCCAAATCCAAATTTGTTTCCAAAACGTTCCAAATCCAAATTTGTTTGATTTTTTTAGGGCGTTTTAATATCAATTATATTTTTTTATCTAAATGTGGTATTTTCTTTCAAATGTATTAAACTCATTACTTTGGATACTATGACAATAAAAATACATATAATTAAAAGTCATAAAAACTGCGCCAGCGCAAAACCCAGCGTATTCTTGATTTGCGTATCATAATCTTTTCTGATTTTAATATTATAATAAAATTCTGTAAATATTTTTTGCACTTTAATTCAATCATCATTATTTCGAATTTGCAAATTGAGTCATACCTATTACACTGCTGCATTATTTTGTGGTTGTACAGACAGATAAAGAAAATGTATGAATTTTAAACGCTAGACTGTGATAAATCATTCACACTGCACAATTGCAATCACCATTTTGCAGTGTGCATTTTTATTCATAAATTAAGATGTATTAATAAAAGATTTTTTATTACAAAAATATCTATAATAAACTTTTTACTTGGGCAAAATTTGACAATTATTTAAATCGAACTTTGATTAGAGTAATTGCACCAACGCAAACCGCAACAACTACAGTCTTATTTCAAATATCAAGACTTTTTTTCTAAAAGTTATATTTTTATACAGAAGTAAAAGAAATTGTCTTTAAGAACATGAAAATATAAAGTCTCATTATGGCATAGTTGGATAAAAATTAACATAATTGGTTCTATAGAAATAGTTTAGTTGGGAGACATATTGTATGGGTTATTGATCCAATGTAGCCGAGACTAATGATAGACAAACAAAGGATGGTATTTTGTTTCTAAAGGAATTTAGGTACACAAGGTAAAATAATGAAAATTGTTCATACCAATAAAACCATTTTTATTGATGCATAATTCTTTATTTGGCTATCTTAGCTAGCTATGCAGCCGTGCATAATAAAAAATTGCAATAAGCACATCAATGAAATTAAACAAATGCCTTTGCAACACACAGCAAATAATAACAAAATAATTTCGCATGTGGAAAATAAGATTCAATCGCGAATAAGCTGTAAATCTAACATGTCTCTAAAATGGATAGAAACTGTTGTCAAGTCCGTCACCCCTTTGTTTATTGAAACCTTTTCAGAAGTTTATAATGTACCTGTTTATTTGTTATTTTTTAATAACTGATTGTTACTTAAACAATTTAAACCTAGCCTTCTAGGACAACATTTTAGTAGTATTAAGTGAATCCTCAAGTCCCTGATGATTTTAATCTAAACCCATACCGTTGCAAGTTCCTACCTCACTTTTAAACTCTTGTGGGTAGGACATAAGAAGATTTATAATTCAAATCTTATTCCTAAACTAGCTATTGAGATCACATCTCCCGGCTTTTGCAGTATCATTGCTATACAAAAGCACAACAAGATGCACAATTAGGAAGTTAGTAATTGGAAATATTCATCTGGCCTGACTCAGATTGATGGCAGCACCAAGATACAAAGGAACTTCCCCTACCTGCAATCTCAACATGCTTCCACACAAATTATATCATACAATCTTATCTTAATATATACTCCTGATAAGATCAAGATGAGAACTCCTTAATAAAAGTGCCTATGCACAGGTTTTCTAACTAGACGTCACTTAACATCATAATACGACATTTCTATCACGAAAATAGGCAGCAGAAAAATATATGTAAATAAAAAACAATATTCAACAGTGCAGTGCAATCAACAATCGTTTTCACCATCTGTTCTATTTTTTAAGAAACTTACCGCTTACTCCATCGGGGCCAGTGAAGTTTGTAAAACACCAGATACTAAGTACGGCAAAATAGAAAATAATTCACTATTACAAAAGTTTTAATTATTGAGGGTACTGTTAGACTTTATTTTGTAAACAATTCTACAGAAGGTTAGAATTGAGTCATCTGCGGTACACGACCACCGCGCAAGCTAGCGAGCGATGAAGTGAGTTGTAAAATTCGCTCTAGTCTGTGGCTGTAGTGAGGAATGGCAGGAGTTAAATGTCAAAGAGTCTCGTACCTGAACGAATGACGTCAATGGACATAGTGATGTCCGCACGTAACTATCGAAATATCGCATGTGATGTCGATGTCAATTGCAATTTATTACATACAATATTTTATGATACGTACAACAACAACAACAACAATATTTTATTGATTTGAAACTCTTGCTTTATGTATTAACACATCCAGTGCCCCGACGCGTATGTGCGTTTCTGTTCTCTTTCGTTTTAATAACAATGTCAACATCTCCATGTTAACTGCTTATAACAGTTACTTTTTTATATCACTACTCCTGGCTGCAGTGGCCAAAATAATGGTTTCTTTATTTTTTGGATAGTTGGATTTTATAAGTTAACAAAATTTATCTAACTAACCTACTATTTGAAGAGTGGCTAAAGAGGCGCTATTGCGTTCAGCTTGACACTGATGCTTAATAGACACAAAAATTTCGGAGGTAACTGATTCCAGTGGCCTCAGGTAAGTAAATGGTGGCAGACTCCTCTTTCTGCGCAGCAGTGAAGTTTGCAAACAAGAAGACGGAGAGCGTGTGGGAACTATCCTCTCCACGCCCCAACCGCCGCAATAGGAGACAGTCCAGTGGTCGAAAGTCGCGCGGCTATCTCCGGCCACACTAAGCGTGTGTCTGCGGACGGCAGGCGAGAATAGTTTGCCACCCGATCAAAACCAGACCACCACAGGTGGGGCCCGGCAGAGCTGATGTTTAGCGAGGATTGCGGGAAAATATAAAAATGTACTGTGACCTCGGCCTAGAGCAGAAATAGGAACGAATTGGTTTTTAGTCGGTACGAGTCTGACGCCCCCTTTCCTGAGTCTTGATGAAAGTATGATCCGACCACAGTGTGATCTAAGCAAATTACCTACGTCTTAAAATTTTAGACTAGGCGAATCTGAAGTCGTTTCTGTACAATCTATTTACACGGTGTAAGTGAGAACAACCTTGTATCTCATTCTCAAAGAGTAAAAACAGTATGTAATTTCAGTTATGTATTATTGTATGATAAAGGTTTTTAATGGGAAAGCATTAAGGGCCATTTAAAACAAGCCATAATAATAAATTATTAACATTGGATAATTAAATTATATTCTAATGACAGAAATAAAAATTGTCAATGTTATACTATTATTTTTAGTTAATCTACAAATCAGTTTTAACTTTAACTTTACTTAATTGGTAATGTTATAATGTCGATACATTCAAACCTCGATAACTCATTGTCGATGTATGCGTCTCCCAACCCTAAACTCAAATGTCACCGGTAGTCATGGCACAGATTATACGCAAGGCACAGATTCACAACAATAAAGGATTAAATTTACTGTTATAGCAAAACGCCATCTGTTGTCACAATGTGAAACGAGTTAACAACTAAACCTTCAGTGTGACTACATACTTGTGTCGAGCTACACTAGCGCCAGTAAACTTTTGTAGTTCCACAATTTCCCGTGGCACTAATGTCGCGCCGCAGAGTTTTGTTGTTGTTGATATATATTTTTTTTCACATTGGTTCATCATCATCAGCCTATAAGTGCCCACTGCTGAGCAAAGGCCTCTTCTCATACAGAGAAGGTTAGAGCATTAATCACCACGCTTGCTCAATGCGGGTTGGCGATTTCAAACTTATAATTAGAAATTATAAGTCCAGGTTTCCTCACGATGTTTTACCTTCACCGTATGTCAGTGGTGTCTAAATAATCATAGAAAGTACATATAACTCGGAAAAAGTCACATTGGTACTTGCCAGGTATCGAACCCACACCCTCATGCATGAGAAGTGGGCTCCTTAACCTCCGGGCCACCACGACAATAACCAAGATTGCTATTACTAATTGGCCACATGACATGTTAGGCGAGAAATACATGGATGTATCACGAAACCTCACGATTGCTCTCAGAGTGTAATCAGGCATACGCTGGCCAATTATACAAACATCAGTCCTCGATGGCAAGCTCATAAACCTATTTGATCATCCTGTAGCACTTATAATAAATAATTCAAGTAATTCTCATCTAAGTACATTGTGAAGGATCGGTCGGGGTCAACGTACTTAGGTAATTGTAAGGAGATCGTTAGAGAGATCCCGAAAAACGGGTAGACCCGGTGGTACTTAAGTCTTCATAACTAACTTAGGTATATTGTGTGCGTGTGTGTGTGATTAAGTGTATGAACGTGGCAAAATAAAAAAGTTTGCAGGTTTTAGTATACCTGTAGATTCGAACGTACATACATACGTAGGTACATATGTAGTAGTATTTTTGGTTCTGACGCTTCAACATCATCATCATCAGCCCCACTGCTGAGCAAAGGCCTCTTCTCATACGGAGAAGGTTAGAGCATTCATCGTCACGCTTGATCAATTGCGGGTTGGCGGTTTCAAACTTATAGTAAGAAATTATAAGTCCAGGTTTTGCTCACGATGTTTACCTTCACCGTATGCCAGTGGTGTCTAAATAATCATAGAAAGTAGGTACATATAACTCGGAAAAAGTCACATTGGTACTTGCCATGTTTTGATAATGTTGCAATATTTAATATATACGAAGGCGGGAAAATATTTTTTCAGTATGTGTTTTTAATATTTACCACTTACCTATTTCTAACAATTGTACAGTTCTAGGATTTTCTCATGTATTCATTAGGTATACCTATATTAGGTACAAACTGTAGATAGATAGATTGTAGATAACAGAAATAATAAGTAGTTCTCTACGTGAATTGAATCCGCAAAATTGTGACTCGAATTGCACAGCAGCGGGTCAAATGCCCGAAGACCTCTGGGTAAATAACTCGACCCAGTAAAGATGCTTCAGGTCACCTGGCGATGTAGGTACAATTTATAAATCTGTGCGCGGTGAAAACGATGTTGTCGAGTGCCGAGAGGGTTGGTTCTAGATGGAAAGACTACTTACAGGAAGGTCTTTAACCAGCAGAGATATATCTAGAACCATTCATCCCAACTGGACAGTAGAGCCTTCTAGGTACCTTCTACAAAAAAGAACATAATTATTTTGGTCTAGTTAGAGGGTGACATTGATACTATAAGTATAAGTACCTATATTTGTTATAATTTCTATATAAGTATTTTGTCTGTACAAACGCATAATTTGAAGAATGTTGGTTAGCTCGTAACTGGCTAGTATATAAGATCTATAACGAATAGTTCTAACTACTTTGTATAAAAAGTAGTTAGAACTATTATATAAATGTATATTTGTGAGCCTACTTTATCAAAATAAATAAGCATTGGTTGCTTTCAGATTATACTTATATGTATTTAGATAGGTTTATTATTTTATTAGCCTTCCAACCTGACGTCGTTCCAAGGGACGATCTCCGGCCACCGTAAGCACGGGCCTGCGGTCGGCGAGTAAGGGCAGCTCGCCGCCCGACCAGAACCAGGCCCGAGCGTATGGCGCGTAGCGTTCCGCGCGCGCCTCAAAGAGCCATTAGACCACCACAGATGGGGCCCTAAAGGGCTGATGTTCAGCCGGGGTTGCGGGGTAAGCGCAATGAGGCACCGCGACCTCGGCACAGAGCAGGAGAAGGAACAGGGGTGTTTTTAGTCAGTAAGAGTCTGACACTCCCTCCTGCCCGGCCCTGGGCGGGAGAAGTCATTTGATGATTTTGCCCTCACAAAAAAAAAACCTGACGTCGTTCATGTACTAGGTAGGTACTATATTCCTATGTCCAGATTTTTATACAATACGTTAACCATTTTGTGGTAGGAAACTTGTCATTGCCATCAATATAAAAAATAAAAGAAGAAAATATCGTTCTGCTAACATTGGTTTCTCATATCTCGTACATTTTTTGCCTAATTTACTAGTAGTAGTTAATCTTCGAGAAAAATAATTCTTCATAATATGTACATTATGTTGTAGGTCTATATTAAAAGAAAAACGATCACAGCCTGACCTGAACACATATCTAATGTTTGTGTGAGTAGCTTATGGTACAAGTGTTTCACGTTAATTGTCCTAAGCCTATAAAATGGTGATACTCACCATAGTGAATAAATACAAGAAATCTATGACAGTATGTTATTCATTTTCAGTGGATAGTTAAGTAGTTGGTTTTATGAGAGAAGATTAGAAGAGAATTTAGCAGGCTGAGGCTATTGAATACTTTACGGGGCAAGGCAATAAGGAAACGCGGGCTCAGGGTGGATCAAAGTCAGTTGGAGTCTGTCACTGCCCCTCGACTCACTCTGGGCAAGAGAAGTCATACAATGATGACTTTTTTGAACCCCTTCAAAAAAAAAGAAGAAGGCTGTTTAGTACTTCACTGGACTAATACTGCGGTGGCCACTAAGGTATGTAAGTTAGTTGAAATCTATCTACATAATTATACTTACATATAAAGGCGGTTATTAATTACCAGCTTTTGTCCGCGACTTCGTTCGCGTGGAATAGTGACTTCTGTGAATAGTGATTTTTGGTTTTACCCACATAGTTCCCGATCTCGCGGGATTTTCGGCATAAAAACTATTCTATGTCATTTCTCGAAGTTTCAAACTATGTCCTTACAAAATTTCACACAAATAGGTTCAGTAGTTTAGGCGTGAAGAAAAGACCCGCAGACACAGAGTTACTTTTGCATGTATAATATTAGTTTGCATTATGTAAGCAAATACTTACCTTGGGCACCTTAAAAGAGAAAACATTAGAAGTATAAACGACGGCTATTCATAAGCGTTTCGTATCAGTATCTACCTTTAGTTAGGTTAGTTTTCTCATTCAATACATCCCGCATCGTAACACCTTAATTCTTAGAAACTGATTTCATCCAATGAGATTATCTTATAGTACGAAAAGAATACGAATTAATCTCCCCAAACGTGTGGTACTGAACTAGGTCAGGGTCCAAGATGTGTTTCACGGGCTGTGTGCGGCCCACTAACCTTATTATAACCCCTCCTCCCTCCCCTACTAAATTTAACATTATCTT